TAATTTATATTGTTATACTTTGTATAATTTATAATACTAAATACATCAATTTACTAATTCTTAATATTCACAAAATTTTTGTTTGTAAGCTAATTTAACAATAATTTTTTAAACTAATTTAAAACTACTAGTATTGAGCAATTCAAATAAATCATAGAAATTCGGCTTTGACTGAATGGGAAAGTTTCACATTTGAATTTTACGTTTATGGTTGCCGTAAAGGATCCACTTCTTTACCAGTCACAAACACGCAAAAATGAGTTATTTCTATTGCGTTCAAACAGCATATAATCGTATTGATATGGCTGCCTGAGAGACTCCCAAAGATTCTATGAGGGTTTCTTATGTTAATAACAATCTTTATCGAGTAAGGCCGCTCAGGTCGTTCTTAGTCTATTAAGGCGAAATCACCACTTTTATATCGTGCACACTACATTTAGCCCGCAAGCGCAGCTAGTACACCAGAAACTTCCACCAAAATTATTGACTTTCGGCCATATGTATTCCAAGTTTCGAAACATTCGAAATAATGGTGAAAAGCTGAAATGATTTTGTTGAACAACCGCCTTAAATCCTTTTTATAATCCTTTAGTAACCGAACTCTATTATGGTAGTTCTTAGTATAAAGAAACTTTTCTACAAATATATATAAAAAACTGCTATTGCAGCTTAGGGAATTAAACAGTTAATTCTACAAATTTATTTACTTTTTGTCTCGAATTTCTGCTGCGCTCCAGCTGGCACTTACCCAATTAAGGTATACAAATTCCTTCCCCATCTTGTATTGGTGCTCATTTGGATTGAAATGTCCAATAATGAAATGATCTTAATATTGGATACTATGTGACCAGTTCTCGTGTAAACGAGGTAGTGTTGACTGACCCCATTTGCGTACTTTTCGTACAAAAACGAAAATTAAGAGTAGTAGTCAGCGCCCAGGAATATTACCAGATCGGATTTTCAAAGAAAATTTATTTTCCATATATTTACTGTTTGTTCGAGTCAATGTATGTGGTATTTTTAATAGTGAGAGGAACATCTTTTATGCTAATTTAGAAGAAGGAAACGTTTTCACTAAACTCCAGTATCTTAGGAACCTTCCCAATTGAAAATATTGAACAAAACGATATCCGTGGATTGGGGTTAGGGTGTCCCGTATGTGGGAGAAAATTGTTTTTCGATATCGAAACGTATATCTCCTATTTCTTTTTAAGCTACCCAGATTTACTTAAATACAAAATTTATCTTTCTACGTCAAC